TGGCTTTATTTTTCTTTTATGAAAAACTAACCATTTTATTTTTCATTTCTTGTAATTTTGCCTCCTATGGTTATATTTATCTAATCATCTATAATTTACTTTTTGTTTTACTTTTTCAATTTCATATTCTTGAATTGATTAACCATTTTCTATACAAAACAGTTATTTATGAAGATTAAAAAATACTTTTAATATACAATTTTAACAATTATTAAAAATGAAAGTATTTTACAAATATTTTGTATACATATATATATATATATATATATATATTGCTTTTTAGCTTAATGGAAAAATTACAAATACTCTTATTATATGATTATAATTATATAAAAATTATAAAACTATATTACTTTTATGATTATTTTTATTTACATATTTTTTCTAATTTTAATAAAATATATTAATTATTTTTATTATAGTGAATGATTTTTTATTATGATTTTTTTTATTATAATAAAAAACGAAAAGAAAAACACATAATAAGTACATGTGTTTCAATTATTGTATAATAACAATTACACAATATTTTTCACTTTTGTTGCTGAATATAATTATTTTTCCCATATACTAGAGGCATCGTCTTAATTTTCTGTTATTGTTTCAATTCAATTTTATTGGAAAATATTTTTATTTTTATAATATTTTAGTTATAACATTTAATAATAATTTGAATTTTTTCTTAATAATCCTTATTTCCATATATATATATATATATATATATATATATATATATATATTATTTTATTTTATTTAAAGAAATATAAAGCATTTGTGACTTTGCTTGAGATATAGATGTTTCCAAAGAAAATTAATAAATGACTTTTAAAGAAACAATTATGTATTTTTCGTTTCACCAAGAAGACTTAATGAGCCTGTACTAGGGTATTGAGTTTTATTGGATCAAGAAAAAATTAAATTAGTATACTTTTTAAACATTACTCTCAAAGTTAATAAATATAGAAAAAAAATATATTTTGTTTCATCACTCGAAAAACCATTATAGACACATTTTTGTATAGTATTTTTTTAAAACAAAAAATTAATAAAAATGACTTTTGGTATAATTTTTAAATAATTACCATGTAAATTAATTAATACTTGTACTTTTACTTGAAAATATGAATTTCGTGATTTAAATAATAATGATATTGACGAAGATGGAAGCATGAGGAGGAAAATTCTTCTAATATTACATCTAATTGAAAGATAATTATGAATAGATCATGGAGTTGATTATTAATTTTTTAAAATTTTAGCAGTGAATGTCGAATAAAATTATTTAATGTATGAAGATATATTATAGTTTAACTAGGAATGTTATATTCTGAGCCTATCAACAGAGTTGGTTTGATGGATGTGCCAATATTTTATTTAGGAAAATATTTTTTTAATATACGGACTAATAAATAATAACACATAAATTATTGTAAAAAAATTATTAAAAAAAGTTGTTAACATACGTATTATGGCTTCTCATTATGTTGCTAATGTCCACTTTCATCACGCTGCTTTTTGTATTATCAGTCATACCCTTTGACAGATTGACCATAAAAACTAAGAGAAAAGAAGATAATATCAGGGGCCTGAAATGTAAATGGCAACTTTTCTACTTAATTTGTTGTCAGCGTAAACAACGTCTTATCTCTTTTACTTCTTATTTTTAGTTCATGAAAGAAATCTATATGATAAATTCTATTGNAAAAATTATTAAAAAAGTTGTTAACATACGTATTATGGCTTCTCATTATGTTGCTAATGTCCACTTTCATCACGCTGCTTTTTGTATTATCAGTCATACCCTTTGACAGATTGACCATAAAAACTAAGAGAAAAGAAGATAATATCAGGGGCCTGAAATGTAAATGGCAACTTTTCTACTTAATTTGTTGTCAGCGTAAACAACGTCTTATCTCTTTTACTTCTTATTTTTAGTTCATGAAAGAAATCTATATGATAAATTCTATTGGAAATAATGTACTTTGGAAATGGTATGTTCGTATCACATATCACGTGATAAAATGCATTAAGTACTTAGGAATATTAGTTTCTAGTAATTTCCTTTTAATTAGTAGTCTCAACCAAGTCTATTGAGAGTTTATATACGTGGATATTTGTAAAGCATATTCTTTTATATTTTGACTAAATAGCAAAATGGTTTGATGTTTCGGTAGGTTTAGAGATGAAAAAAAAATTCGTATCCGCGGTATCTGCGGATAAAATTCGTTACGGGTATTTAGTACCTGCGGATAAGAGGTACCCGCGGGTAGCGAGTATTTTAATACCCGCTTGTTAACGGGTCGGGTTCGGGTATCACACTATCCATACCCGTTACCCGTCAGAAAAATCAAATTACAATTTTATTTTTTAATTTTGTTTTTCTAACTTTTCAATTACTGTTCAATCTGTTGGGTCTAGCCCAAATCCCTTTTAGGGTTTTTTTTTCAAATCAGAATAAGGATTCCTTCTTAGGGTTTCTGCCGCTCCGAACGAACCTGGATGCAGAGTATCAGGAGAACGAACCAAAGGGTCAAGGAGATCTCATCCTCGATGAGGAAGCTCGGGTACAGCCGAAACACGAAAAGGTGCAAAGAGAAGTGAGAGAACATGAACAAGTACTTCAAGAAAGTGAAAGAAAGCAACAACCAGTTGGACGCGCTGTACAGGGAGAAGAGCAAGGTAGAGGACGTGTCGACGACGGTGAAGCTGGAAAGCACAGTGGCGTCGCTGATCGTGCGGCCGAAAAGCACGAACAGGATGAAGAAGGTGGTGGTGGTGGTGGGAAATATGAGGTAGTGGCGAACAAAACGAGTGGTGGTGGTAGGTCATAGAGAGTGCAGGGGTTGTCGGAGGAGGTGGTGGTGGCCATTAGGCTGCTTCCCTTTGTTTGAGAAGAAGAAACCCTAGTGGTTTCTGATCTAAAAGAGAGTAAATGGGCCAGCCCATCAATTTTTTTTCATATGTTCTTATCTGCTTATTATTTTTATTATTTCCTATTTTTGCTTCCTGCACCTTAGCTTGGATAATAATGCACAAAATATTAAAAATGGGTATCCGCAGGTAGTGAAAAATCCGTGGGTTTTTTTTATGCAGGTATCCGATGGGTAGCGGGACAGGTAAAGAGTACAATTTTTATATGTGGGTCGGGTTCGGGTATCACTCTATCCGTGCCCGACCCAACCCGTTGTCATCCCTAGGTAGGTTCCTATTTTCATCTAAAATCTCAAATAGGTCTCCTTCTTTTTCGGCGTCTCAATTGGGTCCTTATTTTTGTAAAACTGTAACAAATAGAGGCTTGCCGTCAAATTGGACAAGTGTCGTTTAGGAGACCCTGACGTGACATGCTGACAATATATTTTTAATTGACATGGCAGTAAAAATCTGATTGTGAAGTAAAAACTTAGTGGTCGACTTGGTGATTGGTCGGCCTGGTGGTCGGTCGACCTGGTAGTATCAGGAGACCGTATGGTATAGAAAGGATTCTTTAAAAGCTTAAATAATGAGAACATTTATATACTAATTCTCATAGCATTCCATGGGTAGTAAACTACTAAACAAGTCATATGTTACTGCTATAACAAGTCATAAATCTTCGTTGAATTGGTTTCTCATATACCAATTCTCATAAATCTTCATTGAACTGACACCACCAAGCCGACCACCCATCAGGCTGACCGACCACCAGGTTTTTACTATCACGTCAATTAAAAGTATATTGTCAGCATGCCACGTTAGGGCCTCCTAAACAGCATTTGTCCAATTTGATGGCAAGTCTCTATTTGTTTTAATTTTACAAAAATAAGGACCCAATTGAGACGACGAAAAAGAAGGAGACCTATTTGAAATTCTGGACAAAAATAGGGACCTATTGAAACATTAAACCTAACAAAATATTTCCAGTTTTTAAAGTATATTCAATCATTAATTCATCGTGTTATTAAAGTATATTCAATCCTACAAACATCACATGCTACATGTATAGTTTTAGTCATGAAAGATGTATGCTAAGATAGTAAGTTATTTTTGAATATGACTAGAACTCTCCACAAGAGTAAGACATTTATCCTTGAGCTAGTTTTTTTTATTGAGTTATCTCCAATTTATCTCTCACATGTTATCAAAATACTCACTTTAATATGTGTTGTCAAAGTTCAATTGTATTACTTTTTATGATCACTCTTGGTGCTCAATCCTGTTCAAATGCACCTAAAATGCTAAAATAATTTAATGATATGTTTAAATATGAACTATTTTATACTTTTGTGTAGGTAAAAAAAACATTAACATTATATAAAATCAACTCAAAATGAACTAGATTTGTCATATAACCAACATTATCAAGGAGTAATCATTTAATATATTTATGAATGTTATCAACCCAACCTCAACTATCATCAACTCAACCACTTATTTAACAATTTAGAAAGTTCAATTTTGACGGGAAGCCTAACAACTTAGCGAGTTAGGTTATAAAAGTCAATCTGACTCAAATAGCTCGGATCACCATGTTTTTAAGTTACAGGTTAGCTGATCCCAATCTATTTTTGCATACCAAACTCAAACCGAAAAACCGACTCAAACTTTCCTTATCACCATGTTTTTCTACCCTTAATTTCTATCTTTATTTTTTAATTTGAATATCCTAAAAAATAATAATGTTTATTAGTATTATTATTAATATTCAAATGAAATTTGAACCAATTGTTTTTAACCAAACTTGTCTTTTATATTAATTTTATAAATAAATAACATTTTGTTTTTTTTTACTAATAGGTTGGATGGATAAAGTTTTCCAATACATTTTCGATACATGTTCTATTGGCTGGAATTAATCTAAACGGACCTTACTTACTAACCCATTTTACCATCTTTAAATAAGTGGAGGGATAAATCATATCTTCATATATTTTTTTATTCAAATGTCAAACTGTAGTCACACCCCAAAAAGACAATAGAAATAATATCTAAGAAAAAGTGTTGGCCAGCTAAGACACAGCTAATAAAAGCACGAATGAGAGAGCCAAGAAGACATTTCCATTTTTCGTAGCATGAACTATATAAAAACCATATAAACTTAAGGCCAGTTCACATACAACATTGTTGAGATGCAGAATGGGACCGTTACCCACACCCTCAACCCAAAGTAACCCACTCTGCATGGTTGCAATAAATAAAGCAAAAAGAAAAAACCTTTTACACAAGAACCAAAGCAAGACCCAAAACCGCAAGCCCAAGCCTGAATAAGGAAAACCCACGAAGCCCGTCGGAGTTAGAAAACCAGACCCTGACATCATCGACCACAGGCCCACAGAGAGAACTCATGTCATCACTTCTGGTGTTGTAGTATATGCTGTAAAAGGCGATTCTTGTCCTCTCGGCCTTGGCAGTGAAATTCAGGTTAGCAGTTTGGAAGGTAGAGTTGGAATTGGGAGTGTAGTGAACGTTCTGAGCCTGGTCACCGGCAAAGGCCATCACAGCAAGAGGCTCCTTGCATTTGTCATCAGCATGTCCCAATGAGAAGGTCAACCTGTAAGGTTTGTCAGGTTTGGTCTCAACCATTTGGGAAATGATGCCTTCCTTTCCGGAGAGCAACTCGACGGCTCTTCTGCCTTGTGGAACAGAGTAATGATCGGAATCTATGAAGCGGACGGCACGGTTCGATTCCACTATCCAACCGGGTAGCGAGGAGGTTTCTTCATCCAAATTTGTGGGAAGCAACACACCCAGTGAAGTATTGGTAAACATCCATGGCCCCTCTTCAAAGTCGCCATTGATCACTGCGTTTTCTGCAGATCTCAACACAACAGCGCCGACATTATTATCACGTGAAAGAAAAAATTGGTGATTGATTTAATATTTGCGTATGTATATATACCTTTGGGTGATTTGGGGGTGAAAAGCTTTTTGATGGCAATGCTGTCAATGATGGGGCCACAAGTGGGGTCATCCTCCATTCCGGGATTCTTAAACACTAACCTAAAAGTGTCTTCCTCCGCGTTGAAAGAAACGGCGTAAGGGTTCCAACCCTGGACGTTGTAAAGTGTCTGGAGGTCTATGGTTTGCGATGCAGACGCAACCGACACGTTGATGGACTCCAACTGGGCGCACGTGCGAGCCGCACAAAAGGTGACTGAGTAAATGGAACCTTTCTCCACCGTTACTTCCTGGCTGATCTCAGCGTCATTGCCTAGCCTCACCGCGTGTCTACCCTGCGGTACGATGAGGATCATCCCACCCTGTTTTTGCCCTGACTCCACTAGCTCAACGGTGCCGTTTGACTTCCAGTTAGGTACTTCGCTGGGTCCCTCCACTATCGCCTCGTTCGGGAACCCATTTGATGGTGTAGCCTCGAAATCTCCATTCGCCACTAGCCCTGCATGCATAATACATTTCACTTTATTTTTCTTTTTCCTCTCACCACTCTTTTCCATTTTATAAACATATTATCTTTTGGATCCACAATTTATATTAGAACACGTCTAAATTGCATATTATCATCTTAATTGCATTTTTCAACCGTTTAAATTTGTATTTCCATTTTCGGTGCTGAAAATTTAAGTTTCTTTAAATCTAAAATGTTACATCAAGCTAGTGTTTCTGTTTTTTTTCTTATACAATAATAATCAAATATTGGAGTTATAATGTTGGCCTTATATCTATTATCACTCGCGAGTGAGTTATAAAGTTGGTTTTTCGTTTAAAATTATTAACAAAAAATCAACTGGTATGTTTGTGTAAAGTTTAATTTGAAGAAAAAAAATATGCATTTTGTGGATAACAAATATTGATTTCATTTTAAAAAACGGACATAAAAAATAATGAAAATAACAGAAAGTACTAACTTATGCTATATTTTAAAAATAAGATATAAAATAAAAATAATCTCACGTTTTAATAACGTTTTTTTAATTTATTTTAAGCTAAAAATAAAAAAGAATTACTTTCTTACATTAACAACAAAACTCATCTAAACCAATCCTATCACCCACTGGTCAGTTCTTAAGTCCTATCTAACATATTTCCAAAATGGAAATTACCATATGGTAACAATCAACTGCGTTGAAAAGTTAAAAAGGACGGGCACACGATGTTATGGTATACATATCTTTTATAACTATTGGTAAATTGATTCGATGTTTTTTACTGCTTCCAACATGTACTGATGCTTTCTGAATATAGCTTTGAAAAGAATTTCCCCTTAGATTTACTCTTCTTCAGTTAAAAAAAAAAAAATTGTCTCAGAAGTTATTAAAATTTACTATTGTTGGGTATTAAAAGAAACAACCCTTTTAATGATTTGTGCAATCTTTTCGCTTAAGCTAAGGTTCAAGTTGAGTTAATGCCAATATCATTCTTAATACTTACAAAAATAACATAAAAAAAAGTAACGTTAAAAGGTTAATTCATGGGACCCAAAACAGATTATACCTCAGCAAGATTACATTTCAAATTCAAATAATTCGAGGTTCCTCCAAAATCAATCCTAGCATCATTCGTTTTCCTTAACAACTTTATAAAAAGATTGAAAACCTATCCCGCCCCCCTCTTATCACTCTCTGAGACATGGCACAGTAGACGAAAAGTAGCGTTATCATTAAGTACGTTTAAGTGGTAAAGTGAAAAAATATTTAAATAAAGAACATCCAAACAATAGCATAAGCCATGGCCCATTCGTGTTTGAAGCAAGCAAAGCATCAAGCATAACATAAGCATAATTTATTTTAAGGTGATAAAAAGCAATTGCGATTAGTATGGTATGGGGCCACATGTTGCTCTCGAGGCATTTTCAACAGGTAAGAGCCGGATTGTCAAAGTGTATTCAAAAGCACATGCTCCCACCCCATCCCACAGGTAATTCCAAGTTCCAACCAAACGCAATGCAATGAAATGCAAATTAAGATTTATGTTGAGCTAGAATGTAACAAGTATCTGCGTCGTTTCGCAGTGATTGCAACTTACCCATACCATACTTTCTAATTTATATCTGGTCCCGTCCCTGCATTTATGTTTTTCACAACAATAGCACCAACTCAAATATAAAAACACAATAGGCTCTCACTATAATAAGGATTGCCTCATCAAAGAATGGACCTCAAGAATGTGAAAGCCCACATCGGAACAACAAAAGAAGGGGAAAACTTTCAAAAATGCCAACTTGCGAAGTAGCTTAGAAGCACACAATGACTCAAATAGTAACAAAAAAATGGATGAGAATAAGCTACCACTCAAAAGGGTCTCAAAATGAGTAAGTATGACAACTAGCCATGGGGACGAGGAGGTTGAAGGCAGCAAAAACGACAGAAAACGATGTTGACATGGAACAAATTGATGTATGGTCCCATCGAAAAGTTATATCATATAATCGTTATAATCATTTCTTTATGACCGCCATCAAATTCTATAAGGAACACGTTCAATCTTTGTGATTTACAAAAATATCAGACACTTAACAAGTAATTGAATCCAGTTGAAAGCTTAAGCAGCAGCAGGGGCGTGTGGGTCCTAACGCATGCTGCCACTCACTATAGGCTCCGCAATCCTTTCACTCTGACCAAAGGGGTACGAAAAAAAGCAGTTCTATTTCTTACTGTGTCTTTTATTATTTAACTTAGCATGGGAATGGTGGAAGATAGCGACCTACACGACAATAATAGAAGTAAAAGTAATTTTGTTGGTAGCGTCCTTTACGGAAAGGTCCTTGCACTTTGGTCAAGATTGGAGGAAAAAAGCGTGTATTGGGAGGCGGAAACAATGTGTCAATTCGGTCATTTCGCATCCCTAGGCCAACAACAACCATTAGTAAAACCTCTCACTCTTCGGACCCAACTTCTTCTTTAGTCCATCTCTACTACGCTGGTCATCATTTTCCTTCTCCAACTATAACAAAACACTACCTAGTTTCATCTTATATTTTTTAGGCACCTTTTTCTATTTGCAATGCTAGTTTTCGGTCTTACATGCTACTATGCGTCCATAATTGAACGATGTGATGTTTTGCGGTGGATTTAGATATCTATATGTCACAATACCAGCTTGTACCCCCTGCCCCAAAAAGGATCTTAAGCAATCAAGACTTTTTATTTGGTACTATAGAGTCGGTTATTGTAATTTAATAAGCTTAAATGTTACCTAATCTTCACTTCATTACTATATCCATCAGATTCCTATCACCAATCATACAATGCTCAACTAAAAGAAACACCAAGATAAAGGATTAAAGCGGTTTTAATAAAAGTTTTAAGTTTGTATTTGAAAAATACTTTCTTTTCTGGTATCTGTAGTTTAAAGATTATGTATTAGAAGCATATAACACCTTAGCTTTCAGAACACCCAATGCAATATTTTGCCGTCAAAGTTTTTCTTTTGTTACATTCCATCATTGGGTATAACTTTAACTAACATTCCTGCCATCACGGACTGTAGAGAAAGATTAGTAGGGATATGACTAAAAAGTAGAAGCTCCCTTTAGAAAATGAAAAATGAAATTAAAATAAGATTGGTCATGAAAGTGATGATAGCTAGCAAGAAAAAACAACTTGTCACAACAAAGAGGAAGGTGGGCCTTCGGTGTTGAAAATCATGACCGTAGTAATGTGAACATTAAGTTCACTTCACTTAGATGTGAAACACCTTAAACACAGTACAGCTATGCTAAGTTATTGAAGTTGCGAACATGTTAAACACAAGGGAATCTGTTCCTAAGTTTGAATCAACAGATTCACTCTCCTCTTTCAATAACTGGCACATTCTTAATGTTGAACTCAAGAACATAAAAACGGTAACAGAATTACCGACGAAAACAACACCCAGAAATTGCCCCACCCCGACCCAGAAAGCATTATACAGCAATTACAGACATTTCATCTTTGTAGCACGCATTGGGAAGGTAACTACAAACCCACCAAAACCATAGAGAAGTTTACACTAAATGAAGAATATCTATACCAAACAACAATTGCAAAAGCAGCTAGCGAAATATCAGATCTCGGGTCATGAAGAAGAGGAAAAGTTGAAAAGTAGCAGAAGTGAAAGTGAGGTAGGAGGAAGAGGGACATTACCATCTTCTGCGAAGGTTGTGAGAGGCAAGTGGGAAAGGGTTAGAAGTGCGAAGATGGAGACCCATTTCATTCTTGTGGAGCTCCGAGCCATGTATCTGCACGCCCAGAAAAATTCTTTCTTTTCTCTCTCCGATACGTGTAGAGGGTACTACCACTCTGTTTTTTTGAGAAGTGCAAGGCAGAGTGTGTCTTTATATCCAAGATTCTCAACAGTACCAAGGTCCACTTTTTTCCTTTTTGCTTAGGTTAAAACTAGTACTTTATTAAAATAAAGTTTCTTTTAATAATTATTGGTACTGTATTTCACATAAATTTCTTCTCATCTGCAGTGTGAACACGATTTTGGTTTTTTTTCTTGCTCTCTGAATATAGGTAATGGTGTTGTTATAGAATGTTATTTATTAAGTTGCGTTGGTAAAATAGTATATATTTTATTTTATGTAGGGTACAGGGTGTATTTTTTACGGGTTCTGAGACCCCGGTCTCCGGTGGGACCCTTAATTTCCACCGCCGTATGACGCCACACGACGATATTTATATGTAAGTATATATTTGGTACATACAGTGTTCATACTATCGTATATCCCGTGAGTTTATTATAATTATAATAATTACAAATATTCTAAACAATTCGATTTTGGGTGAAAAAGTTTGTCTTGAGAAAGAGTAAAAATTAACAAATAAATATATACATATATTGTTTGCATAAATAGAATATAAAAGAAATGAAAAAAAAAAATCTCACTTCGTGTTTATCCAGATGGAAAAAGAGACAAAAGAGAATTTTATAAATACATGTGAAAAAAAGCAAATATGTTTTTTTCCTATAGGTATAGGTATTCTGCTGTATCTCGTGATTGCGGCTTTTGATATGATATGTCACGATGATTGGTGATTTATTATGAAGCTACTTCATCATTTTGAGACTTTTCAGAGATTAAAATTTCGAGAAGATAATCCAAATATTTTTTATCCATACAAGTCAATTATTCATATAATTGTTTATATATATATATATATTAGAACTTCAACCATTTGCATCGAGGTAATAAAATAAAATATGATTTTGTTTCGTGGTCATTGGTTGAATAAAAGGAAATGAGAAGCATTTTGTAAATTTTTCAAATTGATAGCTTTTTAAAATAATAGTGATTTCAACTGCTCTAAAATATAACAATTTCTTAAATATTACACTAAATATATGTTAATATTGATATTGTACCATATGGACCGGACAAGAAAGATTACACAAAATCAGCTTAACTAGATGGTGATAGAATAACCGTCCGGTAGGTTATTTGAGTCATTAAGACCGTGATCAAGGTAAGCAGTGATTAGAATTATTTGACTAAAACTGGATCGTGATTAACTTTTCACTGATCTCAAACTCATAGCAAAAACTATAAATAGATGTGAAAGGTAAGTGATAAGTACGTTAGATTTACTGTACATTTATTATTATTCTATTGAATTGTCGAACGGTTCACACACTGACTTACTGACTTTGACATCAATTTAGAACGAGACCGAATGACTAGAAGACAAAATTATGAAGGAGTTTGGTAATTCACCTCTATAACCGAAACATATATAATTTTTTTCTACTTAAGTTTACAGCAAATGTTGTCCATATTGTTATTCTAAATTATAATATGAGGATTTTTCAATATATGATTAGTTTTTTTTCTTCGGTAGTTTTATTTAATCTTGGAATATTTCAAATTGATTACAAAAAGTCTCACTGTCTGCATGTCATGCTTGACTTTTTGTCTTAAAAGCACTGACCAAGGAACCGTGGGCATAATGTTTGTTTCTGAAATTGTCTTTAAGAGTATGAAAAAAATGTAATTTCTACTATGATTAATATTCAGGAACTATATTTTATAATTTCTTATTACTCTTTCGCTACACAGAAAGTTTTATATAACTTAGAAGTACATAATGAAAATAATTTGTAAATACTTTTCTTCAATTTTCCAATAATTAAAAATATCAAAATTACAATTTTCCAATTATAAAAAGTTAATTCAAAGCTTGTGATAATAGGTTGTGGGCTTCAAAAGTTTGATGTTGTAGGCAGTATGGGCTATATATACGGTCCTATTTATTAGGTTCATCACGAGAATCGTCTGGGAACACTTGATCTTACTGTCCAACTGTAAGCCCAAAAACCAAGGTGATATAACCATTATCATCTTAAAAAATGTACTTTTTTAACATTTTTATTCTTACTTATTTTTTAATGGTAAAGTTTTATCACTAAAAATAAATAATTGTTATATCTCTAATTTTAAATTTTAATTATATTTTTTGTTTCATATTTTTTTTCTACTAAAATATTTTATTAGTGTATATTTTTCTTTTCCATTTGTCGTTTTCTCTGAAAAAAAAAAGTGGTTTAATAAATTTTAGTTTGATGAAATTGGAACAATAATCAAGCATGCAAATAACAACTTAGCTTAAAATTTCAAACTATCAATTTTATTTTCTTTATTTTTTACTATTTTATTTTATTTTTTAATATTTATCAAAGGAAATATCTGTTTTTTCTTAAGTAAAATTTTAGCATATAAAATTAGAAAAAAATAAAATAAAGGGTAGCATTTAGAATTGAAAAATAATTATTTAGAACATAACCAACATGAATAATAAATGAAATAAAATAAAAGTTTAAAAATAGATTTTTGTGTGTAAAATATTGAGTTTATTTGAAAAGGTTTATATCTATTTTGGTCATTATATTTATCATATTTATTTAAAGTGGTTATCCACTTTTTTCGTTGTTTAAAGTGATACAATTTTTTTGTAATTTTTAGGTTTAATCCTTTCGAACATCCCTATTTCTGTAGTATCGTCTCAAGTCGGTCCTCGTATTGTAAATGTTCTCGATTAGGTCCCTTATTATGAAAAATTGAATCAATTTAGGCCTTACCGTTAGTTCCATACTAACACCGTTAAAGGGGGTGACATGTGTCAGTTCGTGGTTTTTTTGAATTTTTTAATTATATTTTTATTATTTTTATTTTTATTTTTATTTTTATTTTTTATTTTTTTAAAAGTAAATTTTAAAAATGCCACGTGTCAAACTGATAGTGTGTCACCTGGCAATGACACTGTGATATGACACTGACAGTGCCACATGTCATCGTCAAGCCACGTGTCATTGCATTAGTCTCAATTTGGTCCCTGTATTTTTATTATGTTGCAATTTGATCCCTGTATTTTTATTTTGTCTCAATTTAGTCTTAATTTTAAAAATTAAACAATTTTTCCCTCCTCAAATTCAAACAAAGTTTAAATTGTATATAAATCTTAACAAATTTTGTTTAAATATATACAAAAGATATATATTTAAATATATACAAATTAAAAAAAAGAGTTTAATTTAAATATATACAATTTAAAAAAAAGAGTTAAAATTAAGGAGGGAAAATTTAAATATATACAATTTAAAAAAAGAGTTTAAAAATACAGGTGTTATGTTATGTTATGCTATAAGGGTTTAAAAAAAAGAGTGACATAACATGCTGGTGTTATGTTATGTTATTTAAATATATACAATTTAAATTTTGTTTGAATTTGAGGAGGGAAAAAATTGTTTAATTTTTAAAATTAAGACTAAATTGAGACAAAATAAAAATACAGGGATCAAATTGCATCATAATAAAAATACAGGGACAAAATTGAGACTAATGCAATGACATGTGGCCTGACAATGACATGTGGCACTGTCAGTGCCATGTCACACTGCCATTGTCACGTGGCACACTATCAGTTTGACACGTGGCATTTTTAAATTTTACTTTTACATTTAAAAAAATAAAAAATAAAAATAAAAATAAAAATAATAAAAATATAATTAAAAAATTCAAAAAAACGACGAACTGACACGTGTCACCCCTTTAACGATGTTAGTATGGAACTAACGGTAAGGCCTAAATTGATTCAATTTTTCATAATAAGGAACCTAATCGAGAACATTTACAATACGAGTACCTACTTGACGATCCTACAGAAATAAGGATGTTTGAAAAGATTAAACCTAATTTTTATTAAATTTGATCATTTATTTTGAAGATGTTTAAATCGTTAATGAGATGTTCACGTGAACATAAATCAACGAGCTATTTCGTTTTTTTAGTGTGGTTATCCTATCATCTCATCTTCTTCCCAACTTCTTTGATTTTATGATAGAGGGTTTTCGTGTCTTTGATTCGTGATGGCTCTTGGAGTGGTGTGAATATGAGATGTTCGCAAAATGCTTGCAATTTAAGAGTTTATTTGTTTCGCGATATTATGGTTCTATTTTGTTATAGGTTATTTTTTGTAACAGAAGGTGATTAACAATGATAAATGAACTTGGTATCTCGCTATTACTCCGAGATATCTTGCGGTTATACAATGAGTTCTCCTAATTCTTTGGGGCAAGTTCTTAATGATAAAAGTTATGAGATAAATTTACAAAATTAATTCTTTGAAAGGTTTATATTATTATATTGTTGATACATCAATTTATTCAAGTATCATATAAGTTATATTACCTATAAATGTTGATATAAGTAATGATCAAAATAACAATAAATAGGTTAGTACATCAACTATAACACAGCTAGAGAAAACTCTGCATATCAATCTTTCTGGATAATTTTTTTCAAAAGCTCCATTTTGAATAAAACCTTCTCAAAAACTTTCACCAAAATAAAACAAACAATCCATGTGCAAGAAGTGCAAATGTGACCTTAATTTATAATCTATATTTGTATCTATATTTAAAATCTTTTTCTTCCGTTACTGATTATATTGTTTTATTGGGTTTTTCTACTACTGTAACGGATTATCCTGTTATGTTTTCTTTTTATAAATTTATTCATAAAATTTTGATTCTAAATTTCACATGATAGATTTATGAAATTAATTAAAAAATTATTATTACTAAATTAATAAGCCTCTGGAAAATGTAAAAAATGCAGAAGTGATGAAATGTGAATTCAGAAATGCGACAGTGATGACCCAACAATTAAAAAAATGCAGAAGTGACGATAGAAAATTTCAGAGTACAGATGAACTTCATTTATATATATACAACTGCTATTCGCTCCAATTATTTTTTTCATATATATAAAATGATAGGTAAATAAAAAACATTTTTTTTATATTTAATATATTTGATTTTTTTAAA